GCTATCCCAGGCCAAAGAACTGGAAGTGAGAGACAGGCATGAGACTAGGGGCTGTTAGGGACTCTAACCTGCTCAGTCACTGGACAATCTGCCCTGAGTCTCAGTCCTCTCACATGTAAAATGGGGCTGAATTACCCTAGGGTATGGACCACCGGGGTGGTTTTAGGAACTGAGAGCTGACGGATGAGTGTTTAGGCACGGCACGTTGATATACTCCACAGTGTACCAGCTGGGGAGCCGGCACTCTCAGTATCGACTCCACTTGGCCTGGGAACTAGGATGCAAACACCAGGGAGCAGGGAGAGGCCCAGGCCTTGCCCTTTGCCCCTTCACCTACACGTCACATACATATCTGTTTATGTGGGAGTACTAGGCATGGGAAGTCTGTTCCTGGTCTATTGCCTGAACACACCAAGGCAGAGTCCAGCAGTGCCACCCCCTAGGCACAGTAAGACAGAGTCCGGATTTAGTCCTTAGCATCACATAAATAGGGCATGGTGAAGTCTAGAAGCCCAGCGCTAGGGAGGTGGGAGCAAGATCAGAAGGTCAAGGTCTGCCACAGTTAAGGCCAGCTTGACCCATACTAGACCCTATCAAAATAAAACTGAGCGTGGTGGCACACACCTATAACCCCAGTACTTGGGAGGCAGAAGCAGGAGGGTTGTTAAGCCCAGCCTGGGCTACAGAAAAAGACCCTGTTGGAGACACAGTCTTTTAGTCCAAGGGAACAGGCTCTGATACAGGCCAGGACGCGAGCTCAGAAAGGACACCCTGAGCCCTCCTGTCCCTTCAGGGGCTACCTCACACACTGCTACACCGATACTATCAGTTACCCAGGTTAGCCACTGGGTATGTTAAAGGAGGATTCCCAGGCTATTTCGTTGTTTTGGAAAGAAAAACCAGAAGCAATGTGGAAGCTGCCAGGTCCCCTGGAAAGTAGCTGTTAATCCATGCTCCCGTAGATGTCACACCAGGTCACCCCAGGTACTCCACTGACAAATGTCTGCGAAATAGGGCTGAGGGTATGGCTCAGGGGTAGAGCACTTGCTCACCAAGAGCAAAGCCCTGAGTTCAATTTCCACCACCACTGAGGGAAGGGAGGGAAAGTTTGAGGTTTGAAAACTCAAAGTCCATCCAGAGAGGAGAAAATTATGCTACCGAGGTCACACACGCACGTTGACACAAAGCATGAAGACAGTCATTTGAGTCTGATCCTTCAATGCCTACTTTCTAGAACTCAGAATTCTGGCAGAATTTGACCAAATCCTAACAAAACTGGCGAACCCTTGAAAGAGTGGGTCGGGAACTGGTCTGTCCAAGGTCACACAGCTTACAAGTGGAAGAGCCAGGGCTTGAAGTTGGTCCCCAACACACAGCTCGGAACTGTACAGAATGTTCCAATCAGGCATCTCCTCAGGTCCCCACTGCCAGGTGCCCAGGGAAGGGAGACAAAAGCCTGGCTCTCAAGCCCTGAAGCAACACCACACTGCGAACAGCTTCTGGATGGACCACCAGGCTGTGTCCAGCTCAAGTAGAATTCCAAGCCTTAGCACCCAAGGCAAGAAGGTCTCCAGGCGACTGTGATCCCAGAGCAGGACCCTAGCCATAGGACAACTCCCTCTTCGCTTTTGTTTTATTCTTCCCAAAATAATGAAATAGCCTGGCGAGCCACCCTCCCCTCTTCTGTGGGTGACCTCGTCAACAGAAGCATGGCCGGGACCGAGGGATAAGAAGAGACTTCATAGTCACACTTCTACGGCCTTCACACTTTGTAACCAACTTCTCATACACAAGAACCCCAAAACAGGAAACAGGGAGCGTCCTTCTCTTGAACACTCTCTGCACATTTGGGTCAGTGCTGGTTTTCAGCCAAAACCCAAAAAGAATTCTTCTAGATTTTGGCTCAGATGAACCCTTGCATGTTGCCTGTCCCTCCTACTGCAGGAGGATTGCTGGAGTTCATCTTCATTCACCCTAAAGCATCAGGGGAAGCCAAGTTCCAACCCAAGAACCAAGCAATGTCCATCCCTAGAGGTGGAGGTGAAAACAGGTTTGACATTTTTTTAAGGGCACCTGTAAGCATCTTCTAAAGTATAACTATGCAAATTTTTGATCCAGCAAGCATGCCTGTGCAGAGAGACATCCGTGAAGATGCTCACAGGACCATAAAATCAAGAAACACTGACTCCTCATCGCTGGGGAGGGGGGAGGGGAGAACCCTTTTATAAATAATGGTAATGCTCAGGCCAAGGGTATTGGTACACACCAGTTGTCCCAGTGCTTTGGAGGTGAAGGCAAGAAGATCAAAAAGTTCAAAGCCAAACTGAACTACACAATGAGACCCTGTCTTAAAAATAATAAAAATCTAAAAATGTACAGGAGCTATGGAAAAGAATGAACTTCTAGCCAGGTGATGGTGATCCACCCTTTAATCCCAACACTTGGGAGGCTGAGGCAGGCGGATCTCTGTGAGGTTGAGGCCAGTCTGGTCTACAGAGCTAGTTCCAGGACAGCCAGGGTGAGGATTACACAGAGAAACACTGTCTCAAAAGACAAGAAAAGAGTTTACTATTTGATCTCGGGAGATTCGTAATTTATTTTGATAAAAAGAAACAAACCAGTGAGTTATAAATGTGTTGTTATTGCAATGCACTAAAAAAAATAAAAATTTCACAAAGGTTGCTTGTAAATCCAGAGGAAGGATCACTGGGAGCGACTGGGAGGAATCACGTGGATCGGTCCACTTTATGTTAATTGATACAGAAAAGCCCTTATATGTTTGCAGAAGTTTTCCTACCAGTAACTTCCCACCAACTTCACCCAGGAGGCGCAAAGGGGTGCTTCATCGGTCACTCCCGCTCCTCCAAAGGACCTCACACGGCCCGCCTCCCTCGCCTCGCCTGAGAGGCAGCAGCACCTAGCAATTTTAAGCATCAGTAAGATCCACAACCAAAATCCCCTGGGGCTGCTACGCTGAGGCTCACAACCGCGCAAAATGGCTAACAGCCTAGGGCCAGCCCAGACCCTAACATCCTGTAAGTGTCCCGCAGAAGCAAAAGCAGAGGCCATGCATGACCTGCGCCCACCAGAAAGGGCCTTTTGCCGCCAGGGTCAGGAACTTCAAGGCGCCTCTTTGAATGTCCCAGCAAACAAACTCTGGGTCAGTAGAGCGTCAGGAGAGAAAACTGGACTCGGAGGGGCTCCTCGCTGTCTGCTGTGTAACAAAAATGGAACTGAAAGTCAAATGTAGGTCTCAGAGAGGAGGCCACCTGTTTTTCGGGTGTGTCGCCCCCACACCCTGACAGCCTCTCACTAATTTGAGATCAGGGTACCGAAAGGGCCCGCCCCAGCCTCTACGGACATCAACCTCCGGGGTCCATATGCAACCCACCTTTCCCTCGAATTCTGGTTCCCAGCGGGACAAACGACCCTTTGGAGATCCCCAGGTCGAACAGAAAAGCGCATTTCTGAGTACAGGTGCGCGAGGGGCGGGTCTTGGGAATCGCGTGTGGAAAAAGGGCTGCTCCGCCCCGACCCTTGAGCCACCTGTGTACTACTGGGAAGTACTGTCCCGAGTTCAAAATCAAGGGTCAGGGCTGTCCCGCAAGCAGGGACGTGCCTTCAGAGCAGGACCCTCAGCCGCAGGAGTCTTGAAGGCCAACGCTCCAGTCACCCCAGCACCCGGAGCCGCGTCTCTCATTCAAACCCTGGTTGGCCACCACACACGTCTCGGAGAGGTGGCGCCAGCCCGGGGGAGGAAGTGGCCAGCGGCTGGGCCGGGTTGTCCCCAAGCAGGGTTCCCCAGGGCACACCCGGCCACCTGCTTGGATCGCGCACCCCAGCCCTGCCTTCGCCCTCTGCCTCGCACTCTGTCGCAGTCCCCACCCGATGCGCGGTGCCAGCTCGCGGGTCCCTCCGGAGAGCACGCAGGTACCCGGGCGCCCAGTCCCCCCAGACCACTCACCTGGTCGTGCTACCGGAGCGCAGCCACCCGCCCGATCCCTGGGCCTGCCAGCCACGGGTGGGGTGGGGGGGGCCACAGGGGTCCCCGCGTGCAGCAGCCGCCTGGGGCCCGGACTGTCCGGTAGCACACGTCTTGTTCAGCCGGGCTCCTACTTCTGCTTTGGCAGCGGTCGCGCCACGTGACTCCTCGGGGCCGCCCCCCTCAACGCGCCGCCCCGTCCCAAGGCGGTCCCGACCCGCCAGAGCACCCCAAAAGCTCACGCCCTGAGTCACGCCTCTGCCCGCCTAGGGGGAAACTGAGGCAGCCCCGGGATAAACTACCTAGCTGCAATCACTTAGCTAGATGAACAAAAATTTTCCAGAAACATCAGGGTGTTGGGGACACCTCTGCATGTAAATATCCTGCATCATTTACTGCCTTCCCCCACTCGGAGCTGACACTGTTGAAGTCAATGCATTTCTTCCTACCTTAGACGCCTTAAGTAAACCAGCCTCAGTTTCCCTCTCTGCAAAACAGATAAAAATAGTGCCAGGCCCAATGTTTGTTGCAAAGAGTAACTGGACACTAGAGAATTGGCGCCTTGGTTTGGGGGATTTTGTTGTTGTTTGTTTGTTTGGGGGGTTGTTTGTCTTTGTTGTTGTTTTGTTTTTGCTTTGTTTTGTTATTTTGGTTTTTCGAGACAGGCTTTCTCAGTGTAACAGAGTCCTGGCTGTCCCAGAACTCACTCTGTAGATCAGGCTGGCCTCAAACTCATAGAAATCCTCCTGCCTCTGTCTCCCTAGTACTGGGATTAAAGACCTGCGCTTTATATCATCATTGGGGAATTTTATTTTGTTTGAGACCAGGTCTCACTATGTATCCCTGACCAGCCTGAAACTCGCCATGTAGCCCAGGCTGTCCTCAAATTCACAGTTACCTTCCATCTTCTGCCTCCTGAGTGTTGGAATTACAGGTGTGAGCTACCATACCTAGTTTTGTTTTGTTTTGGAGGGTTTGTTATTGTTGTTGTTGTTATTGATAGTGGTGATGGATTTTTGTTTGGTGTGTGTGTGTATGGTTTGGGAGCTTTGCTCTCTCGTGCTGCCTTGCACTTGGACTTGACTGGCTAGTGCCTGACAGACAACCTCATGACAAGCAAGCTACAGCTTCACCACAGTGGCTGCCTGGGAAATCGTGACCGCCAAAGAAATGCCATGCTGTGCCATCCTGGACTTCAAGGAGTAGATGGCTACTGGGGCCTCTTCCGCTCGCCTTCGAGATGGGACAGAAGCTTCCTAAAGGCGTGGTTCCAGCCTCGATTCCAGGTCACTCACCTTCCATCCATGCACAGTGAGATGGACCTGGGGTGAAGGCACTTGCTACCGAGCCTGCCAACCTGTATTCTGGTCCAGGGACCCACGTGATGTCAGGAGGGAACTGACTCCTGGTAGCTCTCCTCTGACCTCCATAGCTGTGCTGTGGCACTCCCAAGCTTTCTTATGAAACGAATTAATTAATTAATGCAAAAGAGACTTAAGGTCACTAAAGACTACAGGGCGTGGGGCCTGACAAGTCACGGCTGACAGGTCAGGGCTCTCTCTTTGGAGCAGAACAGTGGATCTCAACCTTCCTAAATGCTGCCACCCTTTAAAACAACTCCTCACGCTGTGCCGACCCCCAACCAAGAGATTATTTCATTGCTACTTCATAACTGTAATTTTGCTACTGTAACGAATCGTAGTGTAAATATTCTCGGAGAGAGAGAGGTTTGGCAAAGGGGTCACAGCCCAGAGGTTGAGAAAAACTGGAGTAGAACATGCTAGAACCACAGAACATAACACTTTAGTCGGTTTTTAGACAAACCGGGCGGCAAGCCCATCACACAAGGGCTGCTGGTCTGGCAGGCTTGAAGGAGACGGCGTGCCACTGCACAAACACCATTGAGCCGCAGTTGATTATTCCAGATCTGAAGGAGCTCTCAAACCTGGGCCTCCTCACCCCTGAAGTGGTCAGGTCCGAACGACTACCTTGCCCCTGGGCCTTACCAGTCTGAACCCCCCAGCCCTGGCACCAATAGCGACAAGAAAAAGCCCAAGTGCCTTTGAGTCTGGTTTCCTTTCCTGGCATTGTTCAAAGTACGTAGCCCCTGGGGACAGGCTGAGTCCCAGCTGCTGCGAACTGGGCTCTGGGAGAGGAAGTACCACCCAGAACTGGTTGGCAAACCTGGCAGCTTCCACAGCAGGCAGGTCCAACCCCTCTGACAATTCCATCCAGACTGACTAGGGAGGACCTGGGATTTTACTGCTGTCCTTGCAGATCTCCGGCTTCTCAGACCTGGAATCCTGCTGAGCCAGGTTTAGTCATTCAACCAACACAAACCAAGTACCTAGCAAGGAGCTGGGTGGGCACTGCTTGGCTCCAGGGCTGCTGCCGAAATCACCGCAGCCCAATCCAGTGAGCCTAGAGTGGGTTGGCGGGCTAGGCAAACAAGGGACTTCTGAGTCAGGTCACAATCTCAGTTTTAGTACTCACATCTGTGTGACGTCATTACTGCTCCACGGTGTGGTTAAGGCAAAGGGTTTTATTGTAGATACGCGAGAAAGACCAGCCAGAGGCATTTGGAAGTGTCCAGAGCAGAAAGAGAAAGAAGTAGGCTAAACATGACCAGTGGACTGGCCCCCTATCTCTTAGAGAAGCAGAAACAGAGCAGAGAGACAGACAGGCAGAGAGGGGGGGGAGGGGGAAGATTTGGGCAAGGGAGACAGAGAGAATATATTGACAATAACAGGGTTACAAGGTTAACGCCTGTACTAGAGGGAGTCTAGGGTGAGAAGAGTTAGGGCACAGCATGGGCTCTGAAATGTGGAGCAGGTGCTTTTCTTAGGGACCCTGGAGGCAGCAGTGCTTGGGTATGCTAACAGGCACCACAAACAGCCGACTGTCCTTTCTACCAGCGATAAGAAGGAGTCCTTTTTGCCGAGGGGAACCGGCTGCAAAAGTTCCCGAGGAATGCTGGCTTTTGTCTCACCACCAGAAATCCTCCAGGACGGCCTTTTGGAGTTTGAGGAACTGGAGTCTCCTTTGGACCTGACATGGCCCTGTACAGAGTTCTTGACTTTGGTAAGCCTCGTTCATCTTCCAGCTTAGGGAACAGGGTTGCTGTCAGGTGATGTGTCAGGTGAGCAGGTCCTGGACTGGGGACTTCCTAAAAACCATTACTGGTCAGATAGGACTCTAGGGTTGACACTGCTGTCCCCACGTGAGGGAGGGTGTTCAGCACTCTGCACTGCTCTGCTGTGATGCAAGCTGTTGCATGTGACATCAAGATTAATGGTTCAAAATCAAGAGAAACTATAATGTTAACCAGTCATGGTGGCACATGCCTGTGATCCTGGCACTCAGGGGCTGAGGTCGGAGAAGGATGAGTTCAAAGCCAATCTGGGGTATATAGAAACATTCTTATCTTGTTTGTTTGTTTTTTGTTGTTGTTGTTGTTAGAAATGGGGTCTCAGGGCTGGAGAGATGGCTCAAAGGTTAAGAGCACCGGCTGCTCTTCCAGAGATCCTGAGTTCAATTCCCAGCAACCATATCGTGGCTCACAACCATACATAATGAGACCTGGTACCCTCTTCTGGCCTACAGGCATACATGTAGACAGAATACCATATACAAAATAAATAAATAAATATTAAAAGGAAGGAAGGAAGGAAGGAAGGAAGGAAGGAAGGAAGGAAGGAAGGGAGAGTCTCACTATGTAGCCCTGGCTGTCCTGGAACTCACTCTGTAGACCAGGCTCAAACCCAGAGATCCACCTGCCTCTGCCTCCAGAGTGCTGGGAACTAACTGTGTGAGATCCTTCCTTTAAAAAATCAAAGAGAGGGCCAGGGAAATGCACTTGGCCATGAACTCTTTACTCTTTACTGTAGCTGAGAAAGACCTTGAATGCCCAACATTCCTACCTCTACCTTCCATGTGCTGGGATTACAGACATCACACAACTGGCTCAGCGGCCATCCCTTCCGTTCCCACCACAGGCCTGGAAGCTAAAGCTCAGATCTTTGACCAATTCAACAAACTCTAAGCCCTATCCCTAGAAAAGAAATAGAGCATTTTTATAACCTACATTTTGAAAACAGGCTTGAATTCTATATTATAGAAAACGATGTAGAAGTGCCTGCTGTTCTTAGTTTAGCAAGAGTCCTTTCTATTGTTCATTCTGAGTTCACCTTCCCAGTCCAGGTGCCCCTGAAAGAACACAAGACAGATAGCCAGAGACGCCACCTCCACTCAGTGTTTCCAATAGTGTCTGAAGGCTGGCGAGATGCCACAGCAGGAGAATACTTGCTGCCAAGCTGTTGTGATCCAGCTGCCCTCACTCCCCCTGACTGACAGCGGAACTTCCTTGTGGTCTGTAATTGACAAGGATGTTTGTGTTCTTTCTGGCCAGTGGGTCTCCACAGAAGGAGTAGAGGTATAAAAGGTTGCTGGGCAAAATAAAGGCTGCTATTCTTCCACCTGAAAAGAAGCCTCCGTGTCTCAATCCCGGCACCCCCTGCCAGTCTTGGCTATCCAGGCTGTGCTGGCGGCAGCACCAAGCTTCATCACCTGGGACCTATATGGTTAAAAACAGAGAGCTGGCCCCTGCAAGTTGTCCTCTGACCTCCAGATGGCATGCATGTACCCACACACAGATACACATACACATAAACATTTTTTTCATATTTTAATGTTTAAAAAAATTAGGGCTGGGGAGATGGCTCAGTGGTTAAGAGATCAGGCTGATAAACATGTAGGCAAAACCACCAATGAGCATGAAATAAAAATAAATTTTAAAATGTTAAAGAAAAACGGGAACCATCAATAAGCCAGGGAAGATGGCCCAATCAGTAAAGTGTTTACAGGGCTAGCATAAGGATCTAAGTTCAATACCCAGATGCCACAGAAAAGCCAGACATTACAATGTGTCATTGTAATTCCAGCATTGGGGAGGTAGAGACAAAAGGATCCTCGGGATTCACAAGCTAGTCAGCCTAGGTAAATCTGCAAGCCCAAAGCCAGTGAGAAACTATCTCAAAAAAAAAAAGAAAGAAAGAAAGAAAGAAAAAAGACAAGATGGACAGATTCTAAGCAATGATATCTGAGGTTGTCCTCTGGCCTGTGCATGCATGTACATCTCATGTACATATACATACAGCACACGCATGCACCTCAATATGAGGTAGGAAGGAAGAGTGAGAAAAAGGAGAAGAGCAAGCAGAGTCGAGAGTACTCATGCCAGGGAAGATGTGCAGTGACTGGCCAGAAAACACAAAGCCTGTGGTCTCTTTGGGAAAAAGCCAAGCAGCTTATAGAAAGATTATATGGATAAAAAAAAAAAAATCAAAGGTTCCAGCAACCTCACCTGTGTTTATGCAAGGGAAATTTTTAAAAAAAAATGCATCCACGAAATGATCTGAACAGTGATCTTGGCAGAAATTCCATATATAGTTGCTGGTAACCATAGGATGAGCCCACATGCTTCTCAACTCATAGATGGCAAACAGGGATCCACAGCCAGCAAGGAGACTTATTCCCAAAGCCCACTGAGCCTGGGTCCGCAGTGTGTCATGCTAAGCCAAAGATGTCACAAACTCTGGTTTGTTGTTTGGTTGGTTTTTATGTTTTCTTTTTCTTTTCTTTTTTTCAGTGCTGGGAATGGAACGCAGAGTCTTAAGTGCGCTAGGCAAGCACTTTACCATTGAGCCACACTCCCAAGCCCTGGGGGGGGGGGAGCCGGAGGGGTTCTAGACAGAGACCTTACTACTGAGCCGCATTGCCCAGTTCTAATGCTGTTCTTAGGACATTCAGGAACAGGCAAAACCACAGAGATAGAAGACATGTTCATGACGAACTGGGGCTGGGACAGGAAGAAAGCTAATAAAACAGTGTAAGACACTTCCAGGGGAGTGATGGAATTGTTTTATGTGGATTTTATTGTTTTTGATTATGTATATATTATGTGTATGTGTGTGCAGACGTGCCACATGTGTGCAGGTGCCAGCGAAGGCCAGAAGAGAGCCTAGGACCCCCTGCAGCTGGAGCTGCGGACAGTAGTGAGCACCTGACCGGAGCACTGAGAGCTAAACTCAGGTCCTCTGCAAGAGTGGCATGCATGCTTAACCACTGAGCATCCCCCCAGCCCTGACCCTCTGGCTTTATACCTGCCCAAACTCAGAGGATGATACCCAAAATGATGGATTTTACTGCCTAAAATTGCCTTTTCTAATCTAAGGGGGAAAATGATTAAACCGGGCATAATAGCACACAACTTTAATCCCAGGAAGCAGGAGTTCAAGGCCAGCCTAGGTTATGTAGTAAGTGTCAAGATGGACTCAGCTGGGTTGGAATGAATGGTGTCTGGCCCCAAGAAATGCCATTCATCGAACCAGAGATTGGTTCAGGTCGTGTCTATGGAACCTGTGGCATCTGGGGGCCAATAGGGAGCTACAGAAGGGTTCGAAGCAGATCAGTGCGCTGAACAGAACTCAACTTAAGAAAAAAGCTATTCTGTAAAGAGAAAGGAGGATGATTTACGCAGCGAACATGAACCTAATACCAGCTGTGCGCAAGGCACGGTTCTAGAAGCTGAGATCTGAAAATAGACAAAGAACAAGGTGTGGTGGCATAGGCTTTCGATGCTTTCGAACTCATAGGCTAAGAGTTCAGAGTCAGTCTGGGTCATCTAGGGAAACCATCTTAGAGAGGGAAGACAGAAGAAAGAGGTCGGGGAGATGACTCGGTAAAGCGCACGCTATGTAAGAATACGGATGTGAGTTCGGATCCCCAGCAACTGTGTAAGGCTGCATATGGCAACCGCTTCTGTAATCCCAGTACTGAGGAAGGTGAGATAAAAGACCCTTAGCAGCTTGCTAACAATTCTGGTCTAGCAGAATTGTCGAGCTCCAGGTTCAGTGAGAGACCTTGTCTCAAAAACTAAGGTGGAAAGGGATTGAGGAAGATCGCCAACCTGGGCCTCTGACCTTCACGATTACACACACGCATGCACAGAGGTATAATCACTATACACACAACACTACCACTACATACACCCACAAGAGATAGAGAGCCAGACACACACAGGGGCAGGGGAAGGGGCGGGGGGATAAGTCCTGTAGCTTTTCCATTCTGCCAGGGTAGACGGGCCATAAACAGGAAGCTCGTATATGAGATTATCATCTCAGGTGAATAAGGTAGATGAGGAGGGAGGAACCAGGGCACAGTGCCAAGGTTCCTGGACAAGATGGCATTTGGCCAGCACCAAACAGCAGGAAGAGGCAGCTGACCCATGCATGGTCTGGAAGACCAGCATGGAGCATTGCATCTGCCCTCCAGCCCTCCAGCCTCCTGCCTGGGTGAATAGCAACAATGTCCCAATGCAGAAGAACTGCCTGAGTCAAGAGTGGGAAAGTTTCCTTTTGGCACTGAAGGTCATGGCTGTTGCCATTATAAACAGTGCCCGTGTTGATACAATCACACGGACTCCAGGACACACCTGGAAAAGCAAGTCTGACATTCAGATTTAAACCACACACCCCAAAACCCGAGGTAAAGCAGGGAAAGCAACCCTCCCTGCAGCCTCCTTGCTGGGCAGACAACCTCCCTCCCAGGTTCTTCAGTCTGGACCCTCCTGGGGAGTCCCCACCAGTGTCCCCAGGAGACATTCCATTACTAACTGAGCCTCTAAGTCAGGTCTGATGGGATTGCTAGACCATCCACCATACCTACTGGGGCATGATGAAATTAAAGTCAGGAATAAGGCCACCAGGTTGGTGAGGGAAAGGGATGTGGTGAACGTAGGCTGTCGGCTCTGACTGTACGTGCTTAGCCATGTCCACACATCACCTGGCACTCATGTAACTCATGTCGCCAGAAGAATCATAGTTACACACTTCTGAAACACTGACTTGTTAGTATGCGTGGGCTATGCCACGTTTAGATCTCAGTCAAGCCATCTTTCTGCGTGTGCGGCCGCCTTTCGTAAGAGGACGCACCTGTCTAAAGCGGAAGCTGGAACCCTGCTTTCCCAACGCCCTTGCAGCTGCGACAGCGATGCTCGCTTCTGCTCCATCACTCGGAGGTAGTAGCACTAGGCTCCTGTCTAGAAGCCAGCAAGAAAAGCGAGTGTAAGAAGGCACACATCTGGAGGAGTAGGACAGAAGCACCTGGCACCTGCAGAGGACAGCACGACCAAAGGTGACAGCATCCTTAGACCCCCCAGAACCTGCTTAGCAACCTTTTTAATTTTTTTTGAGATAGTGTATCTTATGTCCCAGGCTGATCCCCATCTGTAGGCCAAGATGACCTCTGCCTCCACCCTCCCAAGTGCTGGGATCACAGCTTCAACCATCACCACAACATATATTGTTTTTTAATGAGGTGCTGGATTTGAACCCAGAGCTTTGCACACACTAAAACAATTACGCTACCAACTCAGGCTACGTTGTATTTCAAAATGATTCTTACTAAAAGAAGCCCCTTGCAAATCCAAAATCAGGAAGGGGCTGCCTGGAGATAAACGCCAAGCATAACAGACACAACGTTGCTAAGGGTAAACCATACGGTGGTTATTGGAATTATTACCTGAGGAAGGCCATCAAGAAAGGAGACACGGCAGAGGAGATGACTCAGGAGCAAAGGTGCTGATACTTGGCTTGCACAGCACACTTATAGTAAGCGAATATTTAGCTTGCACGTCCATGCACACACAAAGCAAGTGAATATTTTTTTTATCAGTATGGAGTTTGCCTGCATGTATGCCAGGGTACCACACACATGCCTGGTGCCGGAAGAGGACAGACAAGGACATTGGATCCCCTGAGACCAGGTTAGTGAGGTATCGCGTGGATGCTGAGAAAAAAGAAAAAAAAAAAAAAAACAAGTCCTCTGAAGAGCCACCAATGCTCTTAACTGCTGAGGTGGTTGGTGGTTTGAATGAGAATGACCCCCTTGGCTCCTATGTTTGAAGGCTTGGTCCCGGGTAGAATTATCTGGGGAAGGATTTGGAGGTCCTCATTGGGAAAGGACACACAGGGAGGGGAGGGGACAGAAGTGAGAGGGGACAGAAGAGGATGAAGTGAGAGTAACAGAATGGGCTGTAAACACGGATGGCATTGTCAAAAAAAAAAAAAGCAAATTTAATTTTAAAATGCATACATGTAGCTACCAGCAGAGGTGGTGGCTCAGGCCTGCAATCTAAACCTGTAGGAGCCAAAGCAGAAAGATCGTAAATTAGAGGTCAGTCTGGGCCTCATAACAAAACCTCCAAAAAACAAAGCAGAAACTGGGGGCTGGAGAGATGTCAGTCATGAGCACTGGCTGCTCTTGCTGAGGATCTGGGTTCGGTTCCCAGCACTAGCATGGTGGCTCCCAAGTGTCTATAACTGCAGTCCTAAGGGATCTGACACCGTCTCTGACCTACCTCCATGGGCACTAAGTATTCACATGGTACACAGACATCCATGCAGGCCAAACATTCACAACATAAATGACAAACTATTAAAAGGGGGTGTTGGGAGGCAGCTCAGTTGGCAGAGTGCTTGCCTGGCATGCAAAATGCCCTGGCTGAGATCTCTGGCACCAGATAAACCCAGAGTGGCGGCACACACCTGTAATCCCAGCACTGCGGAGATCGGAGATAGGAGGATTGGAAGTCAGTCCCCAGATACACAAGAATTTAAGACAATTCTTAACCTCCAGCAGCAATCTCCCAGGGCTGGGATTATGGACTTGAGTTACCAAGTTCGGCTGATAAAGAATTTTATAATTAAAAGACAGCACAATTAAATGTGAATGAAGAATTCAAAGAGAGTCGGGTGGTGGTGGCGCACACCTTTAATCCCAGTACTCGGGAGGAAGAGACTGGTGGATCTCTGTGAGTTCGAGGTCAACCTGGTCTACAAGAGCTAGTTCCAGGACAGCCGGGGCTGTTACACAGAGAAACGTTGTCTCAAAAAACAAAAAGACAACAAACAAACAAAAATAGAATTCAAAGAGATATTTTCTCACTGAAAATAGACACAGACACATGGCCAAAAAATACATGTAGAGATCTTGGGGAGAGCACACTGAAATTATGAGAGGTTGCTTCACACCTGCAAGGATGGCAGAGAGAGAGTCTTGCTGGCCTCAAATTCTTAACCCCCTGCCGCATCTCCCCCCAAGTGCAATGATGACTGCTATAACTCACTACATCCAAGTGGAATGCTAACTAAAACAGGTGGGGCCCAGTGGATCAGGCCTGTCATCCCTTCTCCTCTTACAGTTGAGGCAGAAGGGTCACAAGCTCAAGGCCTGCCTCGGTTACAGAGTAAGTCCCAGCAAGGATAGACGGAGCTAGTTAGTGAAATCCTATCTCAAATACAAAGTGAAATGAGGCGTGGGGGTACAGTTTTGTGGTAGACCGCCCGCCCAGTATGCAGGAAGCCCTGGATTCAATCCTCGGTTCTGGAAAATGAATAGACCAAAATAAATAAATAAATAAAGAGTTGCTGAAGTGTGAGGATGCTACGTCGAGGTGGGAGGGAGGGCAGCGTGGTGACGTTGCTGTCAAGGCACCTGCTAGCTGTTCTAAGGCTAAACACAGACTCGTGTGTGACTCAGCCCTCCCACTCCTAGGTAAATACCAGAGAAATGAAGGCTTGTCCGCACAGAGACCTGTGTATGAATAGCTGTGTTATTCGCGGTCTCTAAGACTGGAAAGAACCCAGAGGCCCGTCCACTGATCAACAGGTCAGTAAAAAGCGGCCTGTTCACACAATGGAATATTGCTCAGCCGTAAAAAGAAAGGAAGTATAGTTCCATACTACATCACGAGCTGATCTTAACAACAGAAAGCTAAAGAAATTAGTCAAGAAAAAACACACACAAGGGGGATTCTGCTTTACACGAAACACCCAGAA